TCATGAGTACACACACCTGGGTTAGAGTCCAGGACCTTCTGGTTATAAGGTGGGCTTGTAAACCATTAAGCCACTGGGACCCAATCCAATGGCATGTCCATGAATTCTAACTTCTGCCAATTCATGATATGGCTCGACCACTAGTCAATGTTGTCAGCGAGTATTTGTCCTCACGTCCGTCATTCTGTACCCTACTGGTCACAGCTTCTCATTAGAACCTCAGGTAACTACCTACCTGAATAGGATCTGTCTCTAGTGAGTGTCTCATTGATTTTCCATTATTGCTTTGTAGGAACTTAATTGATTAGATGGAAGATTTCATCATGAGCTGACATCAGTTAGAGAACCAAGTAGTTTTTAGACGGGCAAGTTGCCCGACATTGTATACCATCAAGAATTCACTCCGTCTGTATTACCTATAGTAAACGTTATCACTAACTTATAAGAGAAAAGTATGAAAATAGATCACACAGCTAACTTGTAATGTTTGTTGAGTCTAACCGTCTTACTTTGGACCTTTCCAAAACTACATATTTTATCCAAGGCCTGACTTCAGTCTTCATGATAAGCACATTATTGTGCAAATTAGACCTGAGAAACCACAGAAACACGTATAATTGACCTCAACCAGTTTATTACGCGGAGGATCACATTATCTATACCTACTGAATAATCTTAAGTGTCTAGGTACAGTGAAAGCAACTTTCTCACCCGATTCATGCAAACTTGTAGTCATCGTCGCAGCTATTCATTTACTGTCTCACAGTCCTCTTTGCATATACTTATGTCTGCTTGGTCAGAGAGTGAGTTAGCCATACAACCCTGAACGAAATTCAGTACATGTGAATGCTGGAAATATTAGTGCTAACCACACATAGCAGGACGTTATTCGAAAAATGTAGCAGAATTATGAATGCTCTCCTTCTCCTCATAGATTTCTCTTTCATGGCATTTGTAATAAACAGTTGTTGTTGATATTTTAAAAGTCTTTATACTCTCTATGTGAGCTAGAGGCTTATTACTGACATGTGACTGACACAGAAAAATACATATTTTCATCAACAGAAATCTTGTAGAATGTTCAGATTACTCCTCTGAAGTGACATCGACACTGTCATATAACTTCTTTTAGGTTTTACTAGAGAAATGTGAACAATACTTTCATTATCTCCAATAATAAGGCGAATTAGGAGAACATCCTGGACTTTTCACCAGCTGCAACCCTTCAATCCAGTTCACATTAGAGAAGGAGTCCGACACAAAACTATCTTTTCTGAAATTTTAGCTAACAAGATATAAACATAATCCTGGGAGTACAGCTATGCCTGACTTTCACAGTATTTAAATTCCAAGGGAAAATAAACAAACAAACTGAGGGAGTTGCCAAGGAATCACCAATATCCCCGGTTGTAGCAGATATATTCATGGATAGGTGGGAAAACATAGCAATTGAAACGTTCACCCCCACCCCAAAAATATGGTGGAGGTATGCAGATTACACATTCACTGCACTTAGAACACAAGATATAGATCGATTTTTCGAACACATCAACTCGAAGGTAGAGGTAATTCAATTCACTTATGAATTGGAAAGTCAGGAAGGGGAGCTTCCAATGTTATATTGTAACGTAAAAAGGAAAGAAGATAGGAAGCTAAACACTAATGTTTACAGGAAACCCATACATTCAAACAGGTATTTGGACTTCCGATCATCCCATCCTATGTCAGTGAAAATAGGTTTAGTGAAATGTTTAAGTGACAGAGCACAAAAACTAAGTAGTACCAAGGGAAATCTAAGACAGGAAATGATTCACATAAAAGAAGCCCTGAAACTGAATAATTACCCTGATAAATTAGTCAGGAAATATGTAAGGAAATGCATAAATAAAATAAATAATGACAGTACCGATAGTGATAATAATAATGAAAGTGATAATAATAATACTAATGACGACACCAACAACAAGGAATCTAAATCATCAGTAGTATTTCCATACAAGGAAGGAACCTCGGAAACCTTACGCAGAATTCTTAACGAGGCAGGAATAAAAATGACTGGCATACAAACCTACAAACTCGATCAGAAACAAGCTTTGTCGGTTTAAGGATCCTGTGGAGCCTTTAAAATAAAACAATTTAGTTTATCTGATACCCTGCCTGCAATGATTGTCAGGACAAACACATATGTCAAACTATTAGAACAGGGGCAGTCAGACTAGCCGAACATAAAAACCTAGCACAATCTAGAATGGTTGACCCGAATAAAATAAGAAATCTAGAGAATATTTCAGCTATAGCACTCACTACGTGCAGTCACACACAACCATACAATAGGATGGGATAAGATGACAGTTTTAATATCTAATGTCACAGGGTGGAAGGAGAGATTGGTAACAGAAGCTTTGTTTATCGAATCAACTGGAAATACGTGTAACAGGAATGATTCAACACCTGTCCAGGCGGATATCTGGAAAATTCTACTACCCGAACGACGACAAATAGGAGAGGACAAAGAAAGCTATCAAACTCAAGTTTCAAAGTCATGTGATTACAATTGATATGATTATGAAAAATAAATTTTGTTTGAAACGTCATCCAGTAAATAATACTGTTTCACTGTGTGATACATCTAATAAACAAACTAATATGGAAAGAAATAAACAAGATGGAACACTAAATAGATGCATCTACAGTAAGCGGAAAAGATGGCTACTCAGGAATTTTCATCACAAAATCCATGAAGCCAAAACCCCTGAACCGCCCACATTTTCTGTTTTTAAAAGACTTCTCTACCTGTATCTACAATTCAATAGAGACTCATCAGCAGAAATACTGAGGAATGGCCTGTCCTGCACATTGTAGAAAACCTTCTTCGTGGCTGAACTTCAACTAACTTTCTCCATAAAACTAATGATCTGCATGAACGTGAAGGATAAACTAGCACTGCTGGACTCATCAATGTGCGTCTGTTAGTTCACATGCTCGTGTGGATCTAGATATTTTTGCCGTATCCAGTATTTGCTATCCAAATATATCGTCGAACAGTTACCCTTCTGGTCTTATAAAAGTGGGAAAAAGGATTCTCCTGAAGCTCTCTCCTAAAGCACTTGATCAAATCTGGACACCAGGCTAGCCCATAATCCAACTTCAAAGTCATCTAAGGAATAAGTGGGAAACTTGCTAAAAGAGTATGAATGAAACTTCTTCAAACGGCAGAAGCAGTGGCAATTCAAATATTAAATATCAAACTGCATTCAAATGAAGTTTGTCCAGTCATTAGAATCTACAAAGGACCTGTTCTGTCTTAGCATTGGATAAATAATTTTCGCTTTTTGTTTTTAATTGTATTATCTTCTTCTCTTACACCCCACTAAATTCTTATCCTTCACTTAACTCTCGCTCGATTGTAGTTGATTTCTACTCACCCTCATCAATTTTACTACCCCACTCAATTTACTTACATAATATTGTTTTAGTTTCTACCGTCTAATTCTTTTTGTATTACATAATTTGTTATTGTCAGTTAATATTTTATTTGAAGATCCTGGATGAAGATAAAAGGTCACGCAATAAACTCCGCTGAAAATTGTGTACATTATATAAACAGTGTTCAGAATAAAGCGTCGGTGGCACAGTGGTTAGGACTCTCGCTGACCATGCACATGGTCCGACGTTCGATCCCCTGCCGACGCACACCTGATATCTATGGTCGGCCTGCAAAATTTGGGCTACCGATATCCATGCTGAAAATTCCATACTTGTACCAAAAATACAGTGTGGAATCAAGCTGTAATCAAAAAATAAATATATAAAAAATAGTTGTTATTATTATTATCATTGATATTAATGTCAGCGGCGAGCATTTATCCTCATTCCCGACCGGATGGACCTCATTGGTCACGACTTCTCACAAGAAACCCAGGCGATTTAGTCGTGCAGTCAGTCACAAGCGAGCATAAGATTAATTTTCAAGAATTAGTTTGTAGGGATTTGATTGAGAATTCTAATAACACACCTTTGGAAGTATTCATTTTGTTGCTGAGAAAATTTACTATGAATATGTAGCTTGAGAATGACGTCACTGAAAAGATTAACTCTCCAAAGAATGTCTTCTCTCTTTTAGAATTCTATATACTCACTGCTGGTCACATAAACTTGTAAAGACTTTAAAATATTCTCAGTGAAACTGATCAATAATAAGTAATCAATTGATACGTGGATATTGTGATTGAATTTGAGCTCGATGGTTATTCTGAGATGATAACTTCTGATTCCTCGCAAGAAGGTTGCACTTCGATATAAGAACAGAACTCAGCTAGTGTTGTAGAGTATAATTACATTATGGAGAAAATTTATTGTGATATAGTCCCAGAGTGTTGCATAGTAATATTCATTGATGACAATTCAAGCACAATTTATTATTACTACTCATAATTATATCAGTTTAATCACACAACTTTCCAGCTTCGTTTATATAATTCCGTTATTTCTTGGCTCTTGATATTTTCCATATCGCCATCATTAGTATGAGTCATGCGTAATACATGTGATGGGTGAAATGAAACAGATAGACGAAGCGTTGGTGTTAAGTAACTATCCTACAAAATTCACTAAGATGTTCAAAAACGGTCACAAGAAAAAGAAAAATAACAGCGAAACTAATATGCATAACAAAAATAAGAAAGAATATAAGAGAGGGACATCTGAAACCCTATATAAGATTCTTAATAAAGCAGGAGTTAGAGTGGCATTTAAGTCTACAAACTCACTCAGGTAAGACAAGCCCTGTAGGCTAAAGGACCCTGCTGACCCAGTTAGATAAAGTAATATAATTTACAAAAAAACTTGCAATGACTGTGAGGTCAATCACATTGGTAAAACTAGTAGATCGGTGGCGGTCAGATTATCAGAACGTAAGAAGTGAGTTGAGTGTAGAATGACTGACCCCTCGAATGCTCAGCGATTGCGCTGCATGCATTAACACACAATCATACAATAGGGTGGGAGAGGGTTAAAATAATAAAAAGTAACATAGGTAGGTGGAGATAGAGAGGTTGATTACTGAATCTTTATTCATATAGTCTAAACCCAACACATGCATTAGGAGTGGCTCATCATTAATAGCAGATATATGGGAAATATCACTAGCAATCAAATCAAGAGAAAAAAAATAAGGGAATTATATAAACTAAGTCGGAAATTTGTGTGAGTAACTTGATATGATTATGAATAGGAATAATAAATTGTGCTTGAAACGTCATCAGTTACATTACTGTGTAGCACTACGAGGCTTTATCAAAATAAGTATTCTCCATAATGGAAGGTCGTATTTCTGTGAAGAATTCCACTAGAGGATGAATTTGCTGTGGGCTGCTTCTTGGTTTATTAATGCATTTATACACGACTGATACTCGTCAATGCTCCCGAGCAATTTAAGACGCTTTCCTTTTTTGATACCAATAAGCACCTAAAGTCAACAAAAAGTTTGAATTATTAATTCATGAATATACAAGAATACCGAAAGGTAGAGTATGCTTATTTATACCTAAAGAAAGTTATTCTTGAGTTATTTTTTAAAAAAAAAGTTTAAACATCGATTATCTTTTAGTCTGATACTCACAGAAGCTCTAAGATACAATGTAAAGGAATATAAATTATGGTACATAATATATCCGTATTTAAATAATGCGCTTAGTAAGCCTATAGCGCATGATTATTACCCAACGTTTAAATGCGAATACCATTTTTTTTTTAAAGATGAGCATATTTTATTTTAATTTAAAGTTCTTCATTAGATTTGCGGAAAAATTTGAATAATATAATCTGTAATTTTATGCGATTAGTTCAACTTAGTTTGGTTTTCAAAACAAATGTGTATGTATATACTACTGACAGGAAACTGAGATTTGAATGTGGTCAATACCAGTACATTTTTACAATTTATGTTGTTATTTAAAAAATACACATACACAGTAGACTTAGATGAGAAAAATTATTACTTCTTTGTGAGTACATCAAACGCTCAACTCATAACTATACAGCAGGGTAAACTAAGTAAGAGAGAATTAAAACGAAGTGTAGTATAGTGCGGTCTAAAATAAAAGATAATGTTCAACTCACCTTCTGTTGTGTGGAGCTAGGTATATGGGTTGTTTGACTTAGATTTCGTCCGGGGGGGATGCAAGAACACTATCTTCTGTCATTATGAAGAGGTGGAAGTGGAACAGCTCGTAGATAATGGTCACTTTATTTCTACAGTCTATTCCTTTAAAGTTATTTACGAGGTGAAAATAAACTGGCCCAAATCATTACTCGTCTGACTCATAGAAATAGAAAAGCCAGATATAAGTATAAAACTTGGGCACTGTGGTAGGCTATATATAAATTGATAAGATCTTATCTATAATGGAGAAAATCCAGATTTTTGTATACTGAGGAAGTTTGTTCCACCCCCACCCCCCATATCTCACGGTCTTAATCCGTCTAGGCTAAATTATGGTAATCTCCATTCATAATTCAGCCCTACTTATTTTTCTTTATAATTATTCAATCTGTATAACTATCCCTTATAATGTCGATTGTCATTTTCAAAAGAATGGATACTGAACAAAGAGTACTGTTTTCGAAACATTCATCATCAGGCTCTACATTTATACATACATTATAGTGAATGAATGAGTTAGTGTTATGGAACATAGGGCTTCAAATGCACGTCTCATTTTTTCTGTCTGCTTACTTTTCGCCTGCATCCATGTTATTCCATACTGTTTCAACTCCTCTTCACACGATCTCCTCCATGTCACCCTTGGACGTCCCACAGCCGCTTCCCTTTCGGGTTCCACTCGGCTTGACGCGCGATGTCACCCAACGGTCTCCTCAGCGAGTGTCCAATCCATCTCCACTTTCTCCGAACAACATTAATGTTGCTGTTTAAATAACATCGAATCAATAATATTGATAGATTACAGCTGAACCACAGCAACATAAAATAAGCTGAATGCCAGAAGAATTAGGAAGGATAATATTACAAATTCATGAGTGTTTCTATTGAATGCATGCCAGGACAGTAGTAGGGGCTGGACATGCTTATTTTGAACACAGAGAGCTAGTTCTTTGAGGCGAATCGCAATAGCCTCTGCTGTTTGGAGCCTGCGGTGCTTTGATGATTTTGGCTATTTATTAGGCGCCCGGTAGATTAAAGAGAATTATTCTTCCAGGCTGGCTTTGTCGCCGGTTTGCACCAGATGTTCCAATATCGAGCTGTTAATAGTTTTCACTACCCCTTTACTTAACCATGCTGGGAGATGTTCTCGAGCACGAAAAATCAAGTTCCTAGAGCAACGGCCAATATTTGTTATTTATTAATTTCACTTTGAACAATTTCTGAAATTATCTCACTTGTCAACGTTTATTTCTCTGATTTAGTATAAAGCCTTTTCCAATGTTGTCTTATCGTAATTATCACCCTGTTGCGTAATCTTTTAATTACTTACTAATCCTACTATTTCTAAATCCTTCCTGTGAGATTTGTACATTTCGTGAGTTATGTTATAAAGTACATGACCAACTATTTTTTTTTATCACAATTCACATTGTATACATGTGACTGTACAGCCTGAAGTTAAATTTATTGGAAAAAGAATCTTCGCTGAATCACTTGTTTTTGATATTTCCAATGTTCACAGCATCCATAAGCTCTAAACTTCTGTCTTTATCTATCATAATTCATATCCTGAAAGCGACGATCCTACTTCATACTGACAGCAGCATGGGATACCTGATTCTCTATAGAGAACAGTTAGTGGAATTTATTTAGTTATACCTTGTTTTAAATATCTACTTAAGTCCATGAAGAACAATCTATACTCAGGTGCATTTCTGAAAAGTTTTCAGCATACCCTTTTTGTCTGTTTTGAATGGGTTAATATGTCAGGGGTCAGAACATGTTGTAGATAGAGCAACATTCCGTCGAACGATATACTGTAGGTAACCATTTTACTTGAACATTCCATATAAGGAGTAGTTGAAACAAATCTGAAGGTTCTACGTTGCATATAAAGATGATGTTCAGAATATAAAGCTATTATTATTTGGACAGTGTTATTAGAAGACAGAGACTATCTGAAAAATGTGATATATTTGCTCAATATGCGTCGAACAATCTGTTCACACATTCACTGATCCAGTCAATTTATATGAAAAATAAAGGTGAATCAAAATAGACAAAGTGACAAAAAGGATTTAAGAATAAGAATAATTAACACTTCGTTTGGTTATCTAATCAGATTACCTGGGAAGGTTAAGAGTAATAACAAAGTGTTTGTACCCTCATAGAAGGGCTTATGTTTACAAATAGCTATCACCGCAGAGTAGTTCCGAAAACGCCCTTGACCGTTTTTAAAAAATAACCTTAATGGCTTTAATTCAACTTAGATTTTTCCCGACGATTGATTGGACCGAAGTGCTCAGTCTCAGGCTGATAAGTGGCAGCATCTACACAAGGAGCAGACATGTCAATTTGAGACAAAGCGCTTCGGTTCAATTGGTTGACGGGAATATCGGAATTGAATTCGACAATTAATGAGCCCTATTGCACAGGAAGTGGCTATCGTGGTCCATGTGGTTTGGTGGGTAACGGTTTGGCGTTTGAAACTGCGGGCACTGAGTTCGAACCTCGGTGGTAACATCATCACTCACTGGGGAATGCAGGTACATCCAGACGATGAGACCCAATTAGAACAAAATGAACATCCTGGATTACACTGCTACTTACCATCCACTTAATAACCTTAATTGCTGTTTTGACAACAGTCGTGTGGTGCATATCGATTATATGTTTAGCTGTAGACAAAGTTGGTATTCTGCCACCTGCATCTATGGATTTTCCAAAGTTTACCTGTTTTTCTGACCACTACAAATCTTCACATGCAAAGCGCAATTACTCCTTCCTATGTATTTGTGTTCACACACACATGTAGACTGATATATCGTGTGGGATGCGACATAATGACTTGTACACTTTTGAGGTTTGTAGTGGTGCATATTATTGATTGGCTTTTTTAATAATTATAAGCTGAACTGCATAATAAGAAGCAAACGAGTGGCAGTGACTGTGCTCGTGTGGATCTGCTGACTGAACAAAACATTTTCACCCCAGAGTATTCAGACAGTGTGGTCGTATGTGTCACAACACACAAACTATTCGAATCCCAATTAGTTACTTCTGTAATTAGCGTCTGTAGTCTTGATACAAGCCTCATGCAGTCCAAGTGCAAACTACTGTTACATAATTGACCGAAGTCTGTATAATGGTGTAGGTGAAATTTAAGAAGGAATCAAAAGTTTGTGTATCTTGACAGTTGTATGATTGCCAAAAGCAACAATTGTGGATGTTAGACCATTCCTTTATCCAAGGAATCGCTTACATTTGATGGCCTTACCATGAATGTAATTTGGAGTCCCAACGGCGTGTGCTTGCAGTCTATCGAAGTTGTCCTAAAATAGATGATCTTATTTAGTGGCACTTTTCACTGGCTCTGACATATACCAGAAATGTCATCTCAGTAGCTATCATAGAGTTCATTGATGGCTAGTCTTGGTAACTAGTAAAATCCGTGGGCGTCAGCCCACTATATCATATAGAACTATAGTATGTATGATAGTCGTGTTTATATAGTATCTATCTGATGCATCATTATGCCCTGAGTGTGGCTCCAGACGTGTTCATATACGCTTCATAATTGAAATCAAAGGTGATTATACCACAATCCTATCCTTTACTCTCTTTCTGAAAGTACGATGAAGTAACAAAGGCTGTTTTTAATGCTTCCGATAAGTATGCTTACCTATTTCGATACTCTTGTTTCTCAACTATTTTATTTTTCTTCTTCTTATTCTACTATTTTGTGTGTCTTTGTATGGACCATCTTTTAGTGCTCATCTTGCATCAAGTTATTGTTTCAAGTGAGTAAGTAATAAATAACTGTCTACTATTACGAGGTGAAATTCGAAATAATTCGCCTCTTTCACTTATTTAAGCAGAATATTTCCAACTACAGGCGGCAGCGATGCAGATGTAAAAGCCATGATCATAAAGGCTAGACAGACCTTCATTCCTCTGAAATCAGTCTGAAAATCTACTGCACTTAGTACAAAGAATATGACTCGAATTCCCAACACTTATGTCAAGTCAGCGATTCATATGCTTCAGAGATTTAGGTCACCTGTCACCAAAAGTATTCCCTGCAGCCTGCTGAAGATTTTCATCAGCAGCTAGCTTCACTGGCTCGATAGTGAAGATCGGATGATCAATCAGAAAGGATTAGCAGCAAGGAAATTTGGCGAATAACCAACCAAAAACCTATCATCGAAACATTATGCCAAGGGAAATGAGGATAGACTGGACATAAGCTGAGATAGCTGAATGAAATCACGCTCTAGCCTTTTGAGAGGAGTTCAGCTGAGGAA